TTATCTTTTTGCTCTTGAGGTGTTGGGGTTTTGTATAAATTTTAGATATAAGTCCCTTGTCAGATATGTCATTGCTGAATATTTTTTCCCAGTCTTTAGATTCTCTTTTTACTCTTTTGGAGAAGTCTTTTGATGCAAATAAGAATTTAATTTTTTAGAAGGTCTCAATCATCTAGTTTATCTTCTGTCATTTGTACGTTTTGGGTTATGCTTGATAGTCTATTTACCCCATGAGTTAGGGGCCCTAAATTTGCCCTTATTTTTTCTTTGATGAACTTTATAGTTTTAGGTTTCACATTTAAGTCTTTGATCCATCTGGAGTTAGTTGTTGTGTATGATGTGAAGTACAGATCTTGTTTCATTTTTCTGCAAATGGATATTCAGTTTTGCCAACACCATTTGTTAAAGAGACTATCTCTTCCTCATTGAATGGATTTCAGCCCTTTGTCAAAAATTAGCTCACCATAGGTGGATGGATATATTTGTGGGTTCTCAATTCCATTCCAATAGTCTATGTATTTGTCATTGTGCCAGTACCAGGCTGTTTTGACTACTGTGGCTGTATTGCAGGTTTTGAGATCTGGGAGTGTGAGACCTCCTGCTTTGTTCTTTGTCTTCAATAGTGCTTTGCTTATCTGAGATATCTTTCCTTTGCATATAAGTTAGTGATTGGTTTTTCCATGTCCTCAAAGAATGATGATGGAATCTGGATTGGGATTGCATTGAATATATAGTTTGCTTTGGCAGTATTGATATTTTCAGTGTTCAATCTTCCTATCCATGAGCATGTTGCGTGTGGTAGTTAAGGTTGTATGTCAACTTGGCTGGGCCTGGCTGAGTGGCTGGGCAGCTAAATGGAGTTATTCCCTATGGTGAGATTGGTAATTAACTCCATGGTGGAATCTATTGGAGCAGCTGAGTACCTGCTTTAGGCATGTGGGCTGCTTCCAGTATATATGAAGTAACTTTGGCAGCTTTTTGGCACACTTGAACTCTGCATATAGCCAAGTCATTGTCTGGCAGCCTGCCATGTTTCCCTGGCAATCTTGGAACTTTTTCTGGACTTGAATCAATGGCCTGCCTTGTGGTTTGGTAATATTGGGAATGTGCCTTATCCCTTGCTGACCTTGGGTTTGTTGAACCGTCCTTGCATACCTGGTATGATCCTACTTGGTCATGATGTATTGTTTTTTTAATATGTTGTTGGAGTCTATTGTCTAGGTTATTGTTGAAGATCTTTGCATATATTTCATAAGAGATATTAGTTTGTAGTTTTTCCTTTTAGTGATGTCTTCATAAAATTAATTGCTTCATAAAATGAATTTGGGAAGTTTCCATCGTTTTTTATGTTCTGGAATAGTTTGTATAGGATTGGTGTCAGCTCTTCTTTGAATGGTAGAATTCTCCAGTGAAGCCATCTGGGCCAAGATGTTTTTCTGGTAGTTTTTTTTATGACTTGTTCCATTTCTTCTTTTGTTGTGGGCTTCGTCAAATTTTCTACCTCAGTTTGCGTTAGGTTAGGTAAAGAGTTTCTAGAAATCTATCATTTCTTCTCGATTTTCAAGTTTGTTGGAGTACAGTTCTTTATAGTATCCTTATATTATCCTTTTTATTTCAGTTGGTTCTCTTATGATGTCACCCACTTCATTTCTCATTCATGGTTTTTGTATTCTCTCTCTCTTTTCCTTTGTTAAGTTTGCCAGTGGTTTGTCAGTTTTACTAATCTTTTGAAAGAAGTAACTTCTAGTCTTGTTGATTTTTTTTCTATTTTCTTTGTATTTTCTGTTTCACTTATTTCTGCTTGAAGGTTTTTGTTTATTTTCCTCTAGTGACTGTAGGCTTCTTTTTTTGCCGCTCTTTATCTAATTATTGGAGATGTTGTGTTAAGGTGTTGACTTTGGCTCTTTCTTCTTTTTTGATATGTGCATTTATTGCTATGCATTGCCTTCTGATCACTGCTTTTGCTCTGTCCCAAACATTTTGGTATGTTGTTTTCTCATTGTTATTTGATACAATGAATTTTTTTATTTCATTTTTCATTTCTTCTATTACCTAGTATTTTTTAAGGAGGGTGTTATTCAGTTTCCATCTGTTTTCTCTTTTTCCCTTGATCTTCCTGTAGTTGAGTTCTAATTTTATAGCATTGTGATCTCAGAAGATGCTTTGCAATATTTCAGTGTTTTTAAATTTATTGAAGCTTGGCATATTGCCTAACCTATGGTCAATCCTGGAGAGTGTTCCATGTGCACTGGAAAAGAATGTATATTGTACTTTTGTTGGGTGAAGTGCTTTGCAAATGTCTTTAAGATCAAGTTGGTTGATTGTATTATAGTTTCCACTTTTAATGGCTGCAAGTTAATTTACTTACATATCAGCTTGGTCATTTTGAGGATTCTTTTAAGCTTTGTTAGGTTTGTTTAGAGTAGTTTTTTCTCTAAGGAGCTCCGGTGGAGCAGTGCCTAAGGCATTTGACTGCTAACCAGAAGCTTGGCTGTTCAACACATCAGCCACTCTATAGAAGGAAGACGGGAATCTACTCACTTTCGTAAAGATTTATTGCCCCAGAAACCCAATGGTGGGTGCCATGAGTTGGTATTGACTCAATGGCAGTGGATTTTTTTTTTTTTTTTTTTTTTTTTTTTTTTTTGTCTTTGCTCTAGGGCTACATTAACCCTGCTTGTGAGATGTGGCCTTTCTGGGGTCTCTATTTACACTCAAGTTGTTCAATAAGGTCTCTCCTTGCAGTCTGGTTAGAGCTTGAACTTCTCTCAGCACTATGTAAATTCAAGTAGTTCTGCTGACAGCTAGCAATGGTTGTCTTTCTTTGGTGATAGTTATTTCTTAAGTGTTTGTTCTTTGCTGGGTGCCCTAAATTTTGTCCATGGATGTGCACAGCTTAGTATTTAGCTTAAAATCCAAAGGGGTCCCTGTGCATATTTCTAATGCTTTTTTTTTATGCACAGATCTTTCCTTTCTATATTATAAATTCTAGTAGGCCCAAACTCTTGTCTCTGTTTTCTCAGTTCAGAGAGAACATAGTGCTTTGTTCCAGCTTTTGTTTCTGCATTGCATTCTGAAAAGTGCCTCCATTCAAACACTTGAGGCAATTGTATGGATCACCTCATTTTACCCACTTCTCTCAGTGGTTACAGTCTTGCATTGCCTGTTGTCCAGTATTTCATATATTTTGTCCAGTTCTATAATTTTTTTTAAAGACAAGAGGACTGTAAAATCTTGGTCATTTTTTAAAAAAATTGTCAGTCTTCTATTTAAAATTAGTACTTATATATTTGAATGGGAGCTCTGGTAGCATAGTGGGTAAGGCACTTGACTGCTAACCAGAAAGCTGGCGGTTCAAACCCACCAGCCACTCTTCGGAAGGAAGGTTGGGCAATCCTACTTCCATAGTGATACTGCCTCGGAAACCCAA